TTTTTTTTTTTTGGTTGCAGCCATCGTTGTTTGGCGGGCCTGGGCTGGATTCAAACCCACCACCTTAGATGTATGTGGCTGGCGCCTTAGCCACTGGAGCCACAGGTGCTGAGCCTCATTAGTAATTCTTAACCTTGTAATATAATTTTGATTGTACTGGTTTCTAAGTTGTACCTATTATGTAGGTCAAACTGAATTAACCTTTAAGGCAGTCTTAACATTTAGAAAGTGCTTTACCAAATGGAATTTCCCTGTGCTATATTTAAAAAGGTGTTATAAATAAGAATTCTGTACCAGAAAAAGAAAAAGATGAAATAACATGAATGTGGTGGAGAGTAAACTAAGGGTCTCTCTATCTCTCTCTTTTTTTTTTTAGAGACAGAGTCTTACTTTATTGCCCTTGGTAGAGTGTTATGGTGTCACAGCTCACAGCAACCTCCAGTTCTTAGGGTTAGGCAATTCTCTTGCCTCAGTCTCCTGAGTACCTGGGACTACAGGCACCCGCCACAATGCCCAGCTATTTTTTTGTTGCAGTTTGGCCAGGGCCAGGTTTGAACCCGCCACCTTCGGTATGTGGGGCCAGTGCCCTTTTCACTGAGCCACAGGCACCACCCAACTAAGGGGTTTTCTAGTTCGTAATTCTGTCTCCTGCTGGCACCAAGGGTTTGTCATCCTTTGTTCTATAACTCTCAAAAAATATTGGAGTGTATACTAACCAAATGTAAATAATATTTTCAGCATGTACAATATATCAGATGTGTTAAATTATAAAAGTTTACTAACTGTTTATTTAAATGGTACTTCATAACAATCCTCTGTATACTTTTTAAGCATTTAAGGTAGCCCCCAATTCTAATCTTTTAAATACTTAATATCTGATGAGCAAATAATGACTTTTTAAAAATCTTCTGTGCTGGCTCGGCGCCTATAGCTCAACCGGCTAAGGCGCCAGCCACGTACACCCAAGGTGGCAGGTTCGAATCCCCAGCCCGGACCCGCCAAACAAC